AAAAAAAAAAAAAAAAACCTGTCAGCCAAGAATTTTACATTATTTCAGAATTAACTTCATAAACGAAGGAGACATAGTCTTTCCCAGATAAGCAAACACGGAGGGAATTTGTCACCACCGAAATGAGTCTACAGTAAACGCTCAAAGAAGTCTTTAGCATGGAAACAAAAGGTTCGTATTCACTATTATGAAAACAGATGGAAATATAAAACTCATAGGTCTTCTAAAACAATCACATGAAGGAGGAAGATAAAGGAATTAAATGGCAACATGACAGAATTTCATTGAACGCAGAGATAAAAAGACAAAAAGGAAGAAACAAAGAATTTATAAATCAACTGGAAAACAATAACATGACAGGAACAAAGCCTCAGATATTAATATTAACCTTGCATGTAAGTGAATTAAATGTTCCACTGAAAAGATAGAGGTATTGGCAGAACGAATAAAAAGACATAATCCAACCGTAAGCTACTTAAATGAAACTCACCTTGCTGTAAAGACCGTAGAGACACATACAGACTGAAAGTAAAGGTGTGGAAAAAGTATTCCATTTTAATGGAAAGCAAAAATGAACAGGAGTAGCTATACTTTTATGATAAAACAGACTTTAAATGAAAAACCTTGAAAAAAGAAAAAGGTCAGTTGTCTCTCTCAGGAGCTGCAGGTGGGGGAGGGGAAGGGGAGAATAAGAGTCTAGGTGGAGAGAAGTCCACACTCTTGTCATCTCCGACCCTATCTCTGAGAATGACCAGGCTACGGAGCCATGCAGATTACCAGGGACCCTCTGGACCCTGTGATTCCTGCAGTCTGGGCCTGAGTTTGGAAATGTCTGTGTAGGGATGAGTAAGATGGAACCTGAGGGCTTGAGGCCCCCTTAGGAGGACAAAGGCAACCAGTGAGGAGAGAAGCAATATGGCGCCTGCTGGTTGGCTGTGGTCTGTGGGGCGGGAGGTGCTCCAGGGGGCCTGGGAGCCTAGTGTCCTGTCCACAAGAAGCTCACTGGTGGCAGCAGTCTCTTGGCTTATGTCAGCCGAAGGTCTCTCCAGCAGCTCAGGTGCCTCCTCCAATGGTCCAACATGTATGGGCGGGGGATTTTCACTGCACCGCCTACCTTTCTTGCTGGTCTCCAACAGTCTCGGGGCTTAATCCCTGCTGATGCCTTTCTCCTTCCAGTTCTGCTTTCCAACCTCTTCCCGTGGAATGTCCTGCAGGTTCAGGAACCCTTCCTTCAGACCCTCATCCGCTCTTTGTTTGTCTGTCTGTTTTTTCCGTTTCATCTAAAACTCCTCCTTCTCACAGAGACGCTCTGGCTGGTGGTATCTCTGGTCCAGCATCTTGCTCTGACCACCTTGGCTTTGTTTTTATTATTAGTCATGTAGTGTATTAAATTGTATCCAGCATTTTTTATTAGTTTGAAGCAAATGGAGTTTGTTTTAGCTCAGGTTCTTTGTGTTTGGAACTGGAAGAAAACTCCTGCCTTTATATCATCAGTTATAAATATGGCCGAACCAGTTCACTGGATTCTATTAAGAGGCAGAGATAGAGAAAACAGCATTGATCACTTAAAATTCTGGTGAAAGGTCGTATGTTCTGCGTATGTAGAAAAAGGAAAATTCTAATTAATATTTTTAATTTAGTGAATGAAATATGTAACTTTATAAAATTTTAGCCATTTTGAGAAGTATGCAGTGGAATCGTAGTTTTAATTTGCTTTTCCCTGATTACTAATCTCGTTGTACATATTTTCATATCATTATTGGCAATTTGGATATTTTTTCTTATTGTTCTGTGACAAGCCTGTTCAAATATTTTGTTCATTTTTCTATTGGGTTGGCTATTTTTTTCTTATTGATTTGTATGTA